AATAATAATAATAATAATAATAATTTAACTCTATCCCTGCCGAAACCAGGACACTCTTCCATGTAAGTGTGGTCTTTCCTCCCCTTATATCCCTATGTATCTCAAAATACCTTCTAACACCAGGTTTACAGATAAGGAAATCAAGGGACAGAAAATCAGTGGAGAAAAAATCTGAATCTCCCAGCTCCGAAAAGGAATCACAGCAGCTTTCTTAGTTCTTACAGGTTAGTATATGATGGCTTTCTTAACATTCAGTTTTATGTACTGTTATGTCATCATAACTAAACTCCATTAATTTGGATACAATTCTGCTATGTAGCCTCTAAAATGGAAAAAAAAAACCCAAACCCATACTTCATAAAGTTATAATACTTCGAAGAAAGCATAATAAATTCAGAAGAAAAACTCTCTTGTTAAGGGCTCAGTTTTAAAGGTTAATTGTCTCAGATGGACTGATCTAGTCTTTCATCAGCTGTCTAAGATGTGTTACAAACATCTCGGAGAAGATATCAGGATCTGCCAGTGAAGAAACAAGGGCTGATACTTAGCATCTTCATTCCTTTATTTCTACACCTCTTCAGGTTCAATTTTGAAAGAAATAAGCACTTGTACCTCCAAAATTCTTACTGCATCTTCAAAATGTAACTTAGCTTTCCCTGTACCTAACCAGGACAGAGACTGGATGTGGCCAACAACAATAAATGCAATGCTGTAAAGATGGAAATGAAACTCAATGACCACCTTTCAGGGAACAGCCTGCTCGTTGTTTTGACAAAAAGCTTGCCATTACAGCTACTTCTTGACCTCTTCTTGAAGTTTTAGGAAGATGCAGAGATTCGCTTTTTTCTTAGTCCTCTGGTACATGGCAATATGTTGTACACGGGCATGCCCTGTCATCCTTAAAGATGATACAATATGATCTTCAAAAGCCACTGGACAAGAACTGAAAGGCTTCAGGAATCTTTCACTGGTGCAAAATATCCAACTGTACATGTATCAGAGCAAGCACATTAACTTCCACCCCTACCTCAGGAATCTCCCAGCACAACTCAAGCTACTGGTGTATTTCTAGGAACCCTTTACAAAAAGGCTTCGTATGAACAACAGCCTTTGTGTGTGCCTGGTCGAGGAATGAGAGGAAGTTTTCAATGGCAATGATAGCACTTCCTTCCATGACTTGAGGGTTTTGACCTCCAGAACATGGTACGAGTCACCATGATTAAGGATTTATCTTTGGGGTGGTCTGATTTATTTATTTTTTAGGGCTTATCACCAGGTGCAACAGCAATGCAAAGCATGGGGAGACATGCTCTTCTTCAGTTCAATACTGCACACCACCACATTACATGTAAGTGAGGCTGGTTTGGCAGGCCTTGCAAAGGGCCTGTGACTCTCTGGGTGAAACAAAACACATCTCGGCGAGGGCACAGCTATGTCCCGCTCCATTGTTCTGCCTGAGATGGATGGCACCCAGGCAGAGAGACATATTCCATCTCTATCCCCTACTCTGTGACTCTTTTTCTTGTGCTGCTGCCCTTTCCCATTGATCCAGGCCACCTGGCTGCACTCCAGGACTCAATTCAACAAGCCGCGATCTTGAAAATATTTTGAATAGTAATGTGACAGTGCTGGCCAGTACTGGAGTGAAAGCAGCCAAGTTACGGCACCTGAAATTGGCCTAAACAGCTTTCCTACTGGATCTTGTTTTAGTTAAAGTCAACTTTTATTTTTTTCCCCATGCTATGGCAAATTTCCCAGGCATATGTATTTTCTTTTCACCATATGATTTTACTCATTTTTCCATGGCAACACTTACGCTATACGGTAGCGTTCCACCTCATCTCAAATACATCCTACAACTTCCTCCAGCACATGTAGTCTCCCCATCCTGTAAATCCTCTTAAGAGAAATGGCACACTGAACAGAAGCCTTTAGGATTAATTTGTCCCATTGGACCATTATGTACATGCTTCACCCTTCAGGTCTGTGATATTCTCATATTACACATATGTGTGCACAGTACAAAAGCCACACTGGTGCAAATGACACTACTGCCTTTAAGGACTATCCAGCAAGGTGATATGGGAGGTGACGAGAGCTTTGGCAGCTACTGACAGAACACAGGTACTTTTGGTGCTCTCACAAAAGTGAGTATCGGAAGCCTAACACTTGACAAGAGAAGGCTTTTCAATTTGCAAGAAAAAATCACAGTGATACCTTCCAAGGGGGGAAATTTTTTCAAAAACCTAAGATTTTCTTCTAAACCATGCTACAACAACAAATGAAAGCCTTGAGAACTGATTAAATTAGAGCATTTTTACATTATTTTGATTTGGAATCACTAGTTGATCAATAGAACCAAACCAAGTCACAGACAATCTTATCATTATTTGGATCATTTTAGAGAGACATCTCCCAAAATTGAGTCTTTTCCATCACTTCCTACAGTTCAAGTAACTAAAAGTGTGATGCTTTTGTCTAGGTGTTGGTCTGGTTTGTTAACAAAACATGAATAACATTTACTTAAACAAGTTTTAAAAGGCTTACTTCTGAAAATCTGCAATTATCTTCTCTTGTCCCTCATTCTATCCATGCAATTTGCATTAAAGTCTGTACTAGCTAGTCTCCTAATGATTTTTTACATCGTTCTGAGATCAATTATGCCATTGATTGTTTTGTCACTCTGCTGAGTGTGACACTGCAGACATCGTCTCACTGCCTCTCCCGTAAGTCTACGCACAGGACGAAGTTCTCGCAGACATTAAGAATGGTTGCACAGTCACGTCTTATGCTCAAACTTATCTTTTCAACATGCTGAGTGTCTCCACTTCCTCCTGGCTTTCGTTTTGAGCATGCAGTTCCTTCCAAATCCTTGATCAGTGAGAAGTCCTCAGTTAAATTTAGGCAGTCTCACTGGGATCATATACGTTTAGCTAAATGTGTAGCATAGTTACTTGTGATGACTAGGGGCTGGATGTAATAACACAATCTTACGCCCTGTCCTCCTAAACCAGGAAGGTTGTAGACTATAAAGGAGAAGAGAAAGTTTGCCATTGAAAGCTTTAGAGATTTAACCTGTCCTCTTACATATACCTCTCTTCCCTGTCTCTCATCTAATTCTTCTTACCTCTTTTCCACCCTTTGTTCCTCCTCTCCCGTCCCAGCTCAACATATTCATAAGTCAGCTACTGGAATCTCAGTATAAACGCCCACTAACATCTTTATAATCCCTGTTATGACAAACCAGTTACCAATTTACAAGGACAGAAGGATGCATTTCAAGGGAAATTTTCCCTTTGAAATATTTAGATGCGTGTCATTGTTGCTCTCAAGCAGAATGGGGTTGTGCTCAGTATGGTAAGTAAATGGTAATGCCAGAAAAATGTGAGCAAGAATGGGCGTACGGTCTGAAGCCCATTCAAACTGGTTACACAGTCAAGTTTCCTTTTTTCCAGGATACACTATTAGAGAGGTGGAAAGAGAGACAAAGGGAAATTTTATTACAATATTTTAATATCTGGGGCTCTCAAAGCAAAGAAAAATAATTGGTATAGGAGGTCCCTGTGAATTAAAACACATTATTATTCACATTCTGTAGACAGAGACATTATGGCACAGGGAGCACTGGCCCTGTTTTTCGAAGCTGTCACATCCCTGAA